ATAATTTTATCCATTTCATTTTAAGGGGTTAAATGTTGAATGAGCCATGACTGTACCTTTAAAGGATGAGTTATAAGTAAGAAATGTAGATTCTAAATACAACATAAAAATATTTTAACTTTCAGAAAAAAAATGACTAAAGTACAACAACCGTGCCTCCCAGGTAGTAATTTTCTTATGATGGTTTTTCAAAGCACTGATGGCTTTCTGGTATCCTAATGCTCTCCACTGATCTTTTGTATTCTTATATGTTTCAGCTAACACCTGAAATAGTAAACATCAAATCAGAAAATTGGCTGCTGTTGCAATGTTTATGACACACTTGTCAGAATGTTGGTCATTTATATATGATTATACTTCAAAAATGGTTTCAGTAAAACTGAACTTATAACTAGCTTTGTAATTAAGTCTACATAAGAATTAAAACTGAGCATTTAAATAAATCTATTAATTGATTAGCTATGAGTACCAATTACACAGATTATTGTCCCATAATATAATTGATTAAACCTCTCGATACAGGCATTCTTTTCTTGTCACAATGTTTTTCTGAGTTACATTTGAAATGTAATTCAACTACTTTCTTTTTATAGTATATGAATAAACCTGGTATAAAAATGTAGCTAATAATCCATTTTCTAATATTATACAAGTTTTAAATTCTTAGATTTTATAAGTCAATATTTAAAAATTCCTGAATTTCCCGTAGTATGAGAATTATGACATTTGCTCTCTAAGCATCCCCTTTTCTCTAATTTATTTACCACTCCTCCAAAGAAACATGAAATTTAATGTAAATTACTCATTATAATATTGTCATCACCCAGACAATGCACAATTTTTACATCCTTCAGATCAATTTGGTCACAGAGTTTTAAAATAGAAAATCAGAAACCTCTTGCCATGCCTATCTGTCACATCCTCGTTTTCAGAAATTGTCAATAGTTTTCTCTTACATTTAGTACTATGCATTTATAACCAATAGAAAGCCAAAGTTTTAATTTATCAAATAGCAAATTAAATTACATTATTTTTAGTACAGAGAATTGTCTATTTTTCTTCCAGTTCAAACTTTATTCCCAAGGAAAACACTTCAATGAGCATAGCTTAATTTTTTAATTGCTATTGTCCACAAGTTAGAAAGCTAAGAAAACTGTGATAGTTATAGGACATTGTTTACTTTTTTGTGTTATTATTCTGTGTTCTTTGGTACATTTTCCTACACTGAAATAAAGAGCAGTGATAAGTGTTACACGCTATCTTGTACTTTTTGTGTAATTCTTTTCCATAATATGTCCAAGTCTAGTATGTACTCTGTTTTATACTCTATTTCTCAGCAAATTTATGGGTGGGTCTTTTTTTGTTCACTAATGACATGATCTAAATCCAAAATTACTAGATGATCATCTTCACTACTTTCTTTACCTCTTCTAATTTTGTTAATCATCTGTTATGGATTACCTTCAGAGTTTCATACCCTAATTCTACTTAATGCATTTATGTTTGAATATTTCCTGCCAGATGTGTATGACCTCATATTTGTAATATTGTAATAACAATGCCACTCTTAATATCATTGGCCATCATAGGGGGTGCATGATCTTGATATCATGCTATACTGTTAAATATGTTTGCTCTGTGATTAAGTAATTCTTTTCAGCTTCTTCTAAATATCCATTTTCATAATCTAATGGGTGTTCTTTTCCATTCTTATCTAATTGGGATGTCCCTATTGTATAACCCAAAGCATCTGTACTTGAAACAAATGCTACTTCAAAATCAGTGTAACTTAAGCTTGGTGCCTTTAACCCTATCATCCCAAGTACCCTTTACTGTACATGACACAAGGTTTTAGTGTCTTGCATTCAAAATTTTATTAAACCACTTTTTGTTTGTGTTATACCAATTGGAATAGCATATAATCTTAGCTAATAATCCATATTTTAATAGTATACAAGTTCTTAATTATAAAAGGAAATCTTTTTAAAAATCCTGAATTCACACTAGTGTGATCCAGGTGACACATTTTGTCTTAGCATATCATAATCCCTATTTTATTCATCACCCCTTGAATGTGTACGAAATTAAGCTTAAAATACTCTCTATAAAATCGTTATTGCTC